TGTGGTGAGGTTCAACTTGACGTTGCCTGCCGACATGTGGCAGCAAGCCTTTGGGATCATGGGTGAGAATGTTGGGAAACTCGAGAAGGAGGAAAAGGACCTGAAGCGGATCCTCAAGGCTGCAGCGGAACAGCAAGACCGAGAGTTCGAGGAAGCTGAGCGAAAGCGCAAGCGCATCGCCGACCTGTCAGCTGCCGAGGAAGAAGCTGCTAAGAGAGCAAAGCTGGAAGGCGAAGCGGTTCGCTCGCCTGTGTCAGTTGTACCATCTGAGTTGGATGCAGCAGCTATCGCGCAGATTGCTGAGCGTGTGAAGGCAAGCTTTAGTGTTGCCGATTTGGAGCTGATGTTGGAAGAGAAGAAGAGAAAGGTTGGAGACCAGCCAACTGAGAGGCCTGCGGAGACGCCAGCTGAGCCTAGCCGATCTTCGCAGGATGTGATGATGGAAACGAGGACGGCTGAGTTGGCGGAGATGAAGGAAGCCGCCAAGGAGCGCCGCGCCAAGTTGATGGAGTCAACTGGAGCTGGCGAGAAGAAGGGCGAAGAGGATGAAGAATGAACTGAGATGCTAAGTGATCTCAGTGGTTGGGTGGGTGAGTGAAACCCGCAGCCATTTTTTTTGGAAGCCATGGCCGCGTTGCCGCCATGGAGCGCCCGCGATTTTTCTGGTTAGTGTGAGCCCTTGTTTCAGTGCATGAGAAGTTTGCAAAGAGGAGGCAAAATGATGATGAAACTCAACGAGGGACTCTATAGCCCCTTCTGCAAGGCGTCTGATTGCCACCTCTGAAGACGTTTTTGGCTGATGGTACGCTGGAAGAAGCGAAACTATGAAGCCAATCTTTTCCTGAAGGATCAGCTAGCCGATGCTAGTTGGTGAGTTTGGTGACCTGGAAGATGCGAGACTGAGGAGGAGTACCACGACAAGGTCGAGTGCTGAGTGGGAAACATCTGAAGCTTGCATTAATTCGTTTTCACGTGTTTGTCACCACGAACTCTTGGATTCGTTCCAAGACAACCCTGCCCCAGTGCAGGTGGATGCAAGTTTAATTCGTTTTTCACGTGTTTGGACAACGAACTCTTGGGTTACCAGTGATGTGGACCCAGGACAACCTGCCTGATGGTGGGATCTTGCATGAGTTTTAAGTTTGATGTCAGAGATCGACTGGTGTGTTGTTTGTTTCGTTTGGTGGCGAGTACGCACCAAGGGAATGTGGCCAGGGCATCCCCTTAGTGTTGAAGTGCCGAGCTGGGCTTGGACTTCAGATCTTTGACATGAACCCTCAGCAAAATGCGGGGGGTGGAAGATTGTGGCTGATCAGTGATGTTTTTGTCATGTTTTGGATCAGCTTGTATAGGTTTGTTTTGCTTCGGAGTGATTGGGAATCCGTGTGATCCCATCCTCGATGGTTTATGCCTCGTTGATTTCCAAGGAAATCATACGAGTGTGTTTTTGCCCAATACGCTATTTAAAGTGAGTGTGCAGTGTGTAGGAACTTCGTTCTGAAGCTGAGTTTAAGCTCACAAGAGAGAATTCGTTTAGTTTGTGCACTTCGTGACTTTTGGCTCAAGTGGCTCTGACTGTGAAAAAGAGAGAGTTGTCCGCACTTGTGTGAGAGGTCAGGGTTCGTGCTTTCAAGGGAAAAGGTACCAGAGGGACCTTCGGTTTTTCACGAATTTTGCAGTTAGGGCAGAGCGTTTTTAAGAGTTTTGTGGTATGCTGGCTGAATTCTGAAAAAGTAATATCCGCTGGTGTTGTTCTTTTTTCTCACCCTAAACCTGAAAGAACGAACCCTTTCCAGATCACAAGAGCGTGCTCTGTACAGTAACCGAGCACTGTCTTTTGGTGTTGCTTTTTTGTCATCCTAAACCTGAAAAGGCAGAGCCCTCGAGATCAAAAAACCGTGCTGTATCAAACATCGCAGTTGGGTGAAAGTGGTTTTGACAGTTTTCTGGTATGCTGGCCGAGTTTTGGACAATGGTGTTGCTTCTTGTCATCCTAAACCTGCGGTTTGACAGTGTTGTGGTATGCTGGCAGAAGTTCGAAACAGCAACGTCTGCTGGTGTTGCTTTTTTGTCATCCTAAACCTGAAAGAGCAGAGCTCTCGAGATCAAAAAGCCGTGCTGTATCAAACATCGCAGTTGGGTGAGAGCGGTTTTGACAGTTTTCTGGTATGCTGGCCGAGTTTTGAACAATGGTGTTGCTTCTTGTCATCCTAAACCTGAAAGCACAGAGCCCTCAAGATCAAAAAAACATGTTGTATCAACAGTTGCAATTGGGGCAAAGCGGTTTGACAGTGTTGTGGTATGCTGGCAGAAGTTCGAAACAGCAACGTCTGCTGGTGTTGCTTTTTTGTCATCCTAAACCTGAAAGAGCAGAGCTCTCGAGATCAAAAAGCCGTGCTGTATCAAACATCGCAGTTGGGTGAGAGCGGTTTTGACAGTTTTCTGGTATGCTGGCCGAGTTTTGAACAATGGTGTTGCTTCTTGTCATCCTAAACCTGAAAGGACAGAGCCCTCAAGATCAAAAAACATGTTGTATCAACAGTTGCAATTGGGGCAGAGCGGTTTGACAGTGTTGTGGTATGCTGGCAGAAGTTCGAAGCAGCAACGTCTGCTGGTGTTGCTTTTTGTCATCCTAAACCTGAAGGAACAGAGCCCTCGAGATCAAAAAACACGTGTTGTATCAACTCTTGCAGTTGGGGCAGAGCAGTTTTGACAGTATTGTGGTATGCTGGCTGAATTTTGAAAGCGCAATACCTGCTCGTGTTGCTTCTTGTCGTCCTAGACCTGAAGGAACAAAGCCTTTAAGGATCCCAAAGGGCATGATGTATTGACAGTATTGTGGTATGCTGGGAGAACTTTGAAACAGCAACGTCTGGTGGTGTTGCTTCATCCAAAACCTAAAGAGCAAAGCCTCCCGAGATCAAAAAAATCGTGCTTTATCATTTTTGCAATTGGGGCAGAGGGGTTTTGACAGTATTGTGGTATGCTGGCAATTGTGAAAGAGCAGTGTCTGCTGGTGTTGCTTCTTGTCATCCTAAACCTGAAAAAGCAAAGCCCTCCAGATCAAAAGCACGTGTTGTATCAACTCTTGCAGTTGGGGCAGAGCAGTTTTGACAGTATTGTGGTATGCTGGCTGAATTTTGAAAGCGCAATACCTGCTCGTGCTTTTGCATGGTTTCGCAAGACAAAAGGTTTTATTCCAGCCGAGGGCTTGTTCCAGCCAGGGCGTTTTCCAGCCCCTGGCTGGTTCCAGCCCAGGGCGTTTTCTAGCCTGGGGCTTCTTCCAGCTCGAGGCATTGTCCAGCAAAGGGTGTGTTCCAGGCAGAAGCTTGTGAAAAATATTCTCGGCATGTTCCGGGTCTGGGTATTTTCCAGCAGCAGCCTGGTTCCAGCCCCGGGCTGTTTCCAACGAGGGGTCGTTTCCACCTCTGAGCTCATCACCCCGCAAAACAGTTTGGCAAATCGCGCCCCTGCGCCTCCGCCCCTTGAAGCAAGAACTTCAAGGGTCCCAATTTCCCGTGGTGCAGTTGGCAGTATTCAAGATTCCTGAGCTGGTTGGGCAGAACGTTCAAAGTTCCGTTTATATTGGAGACTCGTGGAGAAGTGGAGAAAGATGCCACGAAGTAGTATGGTAGCCAGCAGACTAGTGACAAGTGAGACTATGCGTACTACTTACCACTACCGCAACTACTTGTGCGACTCTTGACGGCCGACTTGCAGGTTTCCGCAGGCGTGGATTTGTTTGTGCTGACCGCCGCGGCTTCTCTTGCTCGATTTGGCGTTGGCGGACCAGTTGCGTCATTTTGTTTCAACGCATAGGCACTCGAACACCTCACAGCACATGTGGGTTTCAGATAGCGATCACAACATGTGGAGCTATCGGTATGGGATCCCAACGCGCGCGGCCTGAATATTGAATCAAGTCTTCAGTCGTTTTGACTCGGAAGCCAAAAGCTTTTGGCTTCCAATGGGTTTTGACCACATCAAGCCTCACGAGCCCTTAAAAGACTTCGTGAGCTTTCTGCGTAATAACACCATGCCACTGTAAGGTGGAGTGCTTAGGTTTGAGGGTTTGGGTTTCGACACATGTGGTACAGCCCCAAGTATACCAACGCTAGCACAAATCGACATAGCCAGCGCTTTGCCATGGTCCCGCCTGACCCCTGTTAACGCCTCCAGACAGGACACGTGCAGAGTAGCGTGTCATGTGTAGGGGTTCGGTGTGGCTTCCATGGTTTAGGGCTTTTGCATGACCGGTTGTAGCTGAAGGGCAAGGGCTTCGGGTGTTGGGTGTCCCCCAGATCTTCGATTTGCACTATGAAGATTGGTGGGTATTGCTGGAGTTGGCCCACAAGGTTCGGTCGGTCAAGCGGATGTATCGGCAACTCCATACCTTGCTGAGGGGTGATCCGATAGCCCGATCAAATCCGTTGTCCACAAATCCGAAGGAGGCGATGTGAGGGCTGGAAGTCCACGAATGAAAGTTCAACTTTTCTACCCTCAGCTTTGAACCATTTCTTCAGATGCGGCTTGGTTGTTTTTCTCAAAGGATTCCAGGCATAGGGCTTAAATCTCTCCCCGGGGCTTTTTTGGTAAGGTTTCACGTAAGAAACCCGCAAGAACTCCGTATCAAATACCTATCAGAAATGTACACTCGCACTGCCACAAGCAGACGAAGACCCTTGGCCCCGAAGCTCCCAAGCCTCAAATCATAGCAATCGCATCTTGCAGGCTCTAACATCCTATTCCCTCCAGTAGATCCTTTGTTCAAAACGCGCTCGCTTGGCATCGCTTCCCTGTGTACCCATGTGTAAAGTTGGATTTGCACATCAAAGGCGTCCGAGCATTTGTGCACCTTGCAGGCTTCCGCCGCTGAGCTTGAGCCCTGAACTTCAAACGCCCAAGCTCCCCAACCCTACTTCCGCGCACCATCTATGAAATAGCGACCCTGATAGTTCAAAGCCCAGCTCTGTGGAACGAGCACTTCAACCGCCGGCAGGATGTGCCCATCGAGAGGATGGCTCCTTGCTTGTCGCTTGGCCATGGAACATCTGAGGGTTTGATGAAAGCTGTTGGTTTTTGAGAACCAACGAGAGTACGGTCACATCCTGAAGCCCCTACTTCACCCAAACCCTGAAACCTCCAAAGTACCATCGGTTTTCTCCACCCAGGTTTGGTGGCCAGAGCGAGCGCCGCCTGTTCTGAGCCCGTGGATGCGGGACAGGCCCTGCCCTATTTTTGGGCAGAGGGAGGTTCAATTGCGAGTTTGGGTCTTGTGTTGTAGGATTGTGGGAGGTTTAAGCTCCCGTTTCTTTTCTGAATGCAAAAGCTTTGCCATCTGCAGTTTTCACAATTAAACTTTAAGCGAACGCTCTTCGTTCTATATCCATGGATTCGTGTGTGACTTACAAATGACGGAATGGAACAGCGGTTTTGATCGCCTGCTTTTGCCTGGAGTGCAGACTAGAAAGTGAAAGTCAAGGTGACGGGTCCGTGAACTCGAGAATCGTGTGCCGGCTGAGCCGCGGCATGCGGTGATTCGGGAAGTTGAAGTTGGTCTCCGGACGGAAACGAGGGCTGTGAGCGTGACAAAAAGCATAGTTTCTTTTCTTCCTTTCATGTTCACAAAGGTCACAATGCGGCCAAATACTGAACTGGCTCTGTATGGCAAACAAATCGAACAGACGGCACAAACAAGAAAATGGAATCCACAAGCTCAAGAGGATGCATAAAAAATTGGCACTCCGAACTTTTTCGTTGAATGCTTCCAGCTCCTTTGAACCTCGAAAGGCCTGTTTGTCTTTTGCTCTCCACTTGCATTGCCTGGGTGCTCGCGGTTCGGTTCATACAAATGCGTTTGTGTTCTGGGATGTGCAAATCCCAAGACTGGTTGCTTGGACTTCCATGTCATTGATCCATTTAGTATTTACTGACAAATTCCTCTTGCTTAGAGCTCTGGATCGTTGTTTGCACTCTCAAACTTCCACCCGAAATCGGACACATCTTGAGATTCCGTCAGGTCCGAATTGTGGCGACGAGCCTCTGTCCACAGATATTTGCACCGGCCCCGAAGACGGGAGAGGACTGGCGCTTCGGGTTCTTGGGCTTGGCGGGTTAGCGCACAAGAAGCATAGAGCTTGAGGTTTTCTGGGTTTTTATCGGTTCAGGCCTTAGGGTTAACGTTTTTTGGGCCAAGGGCTCAGGAGTTGAGGATTTCAAGGTGGTGTGGCGGTCGTGGGGGGTTGCTCGGGTGAAAGGCAAGTCATTGTTCAGCCTGCGCTTCACGAATCCTGCGTGGAAGTGAGCGTCGCAGCAATTAGGATTCAGGGTTTGTAGGTTTGTCGGTTCAGGGGCCTGGGCTGAGCGACCGAAAGAGAAAGAAAGAGAGAGAGAGAGAGAGTGCGTGAATCTAACACTTGTGCCACCATCGGCAAAGAGGCTACCTTTGAGAAATCGCATTGGCGTCATTGTCAGTTCTGGGCCGCTGGCCCTGTCATCTGTTGACCCTGAGCACCTAATATCCGGCCCAACTCCTAACATCAGAAACCCTCAAGGCTCAGGTTTTTGGGGTCTTCAATGCGTTCCAGCTCAGGTCCTCTGAGGTTGTAGGGTTGGGAGTTCAGAGGTCCTGTAGTAGGTTCGACACGGGTCCACTCTCAAGTCCCCAACACCCTTGAGCTCTAACCGCGAAGCGACGGCCTCAACGACCTCGTGAGGAAGATTGCTTGCGCGGGCAGCAGGGCCCATCACACTTCGGCGGGCGTGGCCTGTTTGCACTGTCACGTGGAGTCTCAAACCCGAAGGGCCCCAAGCTGGTCGACATCCTAAGACCCGAAATGCCCAAGACCCAAAAGCCTTTTCCAAGCCTTTTCAAGGCCTTCTCAAAGCCTTTTCAAAGCCATCCAAAGCCCAGAAGACTCCGAAGACCCAGGTTTTCAGCAAATTCAAGTTCGCGCGGTGTCCTACGTACCGCGCCCCATCGGAGTGGCCTCGGGCGCCAAGGACCTGGGTGTGCCTGCTGGGTTTTAGGGTTTTAGGGTTTAGGGTTTGGGGTTGTTTGGGGTTTATAGGGTTTAGGGTTTGCAAGGGTTAGGGAGGGTCAGGATGCAGGGTTTCTGTGCTTAGACCCCGACTTGCCACGCAAGCAAGGCAGCAAGTAGCCGCCCTTCGCTCAAACCCTAAAGCAACCAGTAGAACGACACAGCACCTTAAAGAACACCCCAGCAGTCCGAACAAACCCGGAGCAGGACGTCTACACCGCGGCCTTCAAGCGAATCCACCAGCGGGATCTCTACCTCATCGCCAAGGTCCTGAAAGCGAATGCCGTGAAGCTCGAACCCTGGGATTCCAAGGCGCCCAAAAGGGTTTAGGGTTTAGGGTTTAGGGTTTAGGGTTTAGGGTGTAGGGCTTAGGGTTTAGGGCTTAGGGTTTAGGATGGGAATTGGGGTGTCGGATTTAATGAAGTTTGTGGGGGGTCAGCGTTTCCAGTTCCCAGATCTTGGGCTATTCGGGTGTCTATGTTCTATGTATGCTCAGGGTGTTGTGTTTTCGGGGTTTGGCGTTTCAGGCTTCATCCTCTCTGTTCGGTTTGTATGTGCGTGGGGCATTCGGGTTGAACAGTTCCCGAAAGCATTGCAAAAGTCTTTCCAAGGCCGCAGTTGCTGATGGCCGTGTTTTGTTTTTTGTTTTCCTTTGGTGATGCTCGATGGTTACTGGCTTCAGGTCGTGTCTTATTCGCCATCCTCAAAACTGTCTCGCCGTTTGTGCGAATCCTCGAGTGTGGCATGTCGTTGCCATCCTCATTTCTTCGGCCTCCTCAACGGTGGCAGTCATCTCGGTGTGTGCAGCTCGTCCTCGACGTTTTTGGTTTTAACCCGCCCGTATCGCCCGCGAGATCGTGGGGTCGTAGGCCCCATCCTCGAAACTGTCGGCATGTTTGGCTTCTAGGAGCTTTATTTCATGCTTGCATGTCAACAGTGTCGACGCTGACAAGGTGTCGGCCTTGTCGGGTTCGGGATGGTTGTGGTGGTCGAAGATGTTCTGGTACAAACGTAGTCCACGGAGGATGCCCTCAACCCTCTTCAAACGGTTTTCTGGATCTTTGGCTGTTCTTTCGAGGCATTGTCTGCCTTACTGTTGACCTGCCAACCTTCCTTCCGATGGAGTCAATGGGTTTGGGGGAAGGGGCTGGAGAAACCAGCAGTTGAGTGCGGGGTCCAGTTTGAACGGTGAGTGTAGGGCATTTACCTTTTTGTTCGGGATTCCAGTATCTGCAAAAGCATAGGTTTGGAACCATGACTGCTGTCACTTCTCTTGACAGACTGGGACTGTTCGCAAAATGGAGTTGAGAAATCGGTTCAGGTGCTCCCTCTCTTGTTAGGAATTGGGAACCAGCAAGTCTTCCATGTTTCCTGATCCCGAGGAAGCCCTGCAAACATTGTTGAATGCGGGGCTTGGTTGGTGTGGAATTGTCCGTAGCTGGTCCTCGCAACATAAGACTTGCCGTTCGAAAGCCTCGTCAAGTCCTAACTGTCTGCTTCCTTGCGGCCAGGAAGACCACCAAGAGTTTTTGCAGCTGTGTCGGAAGCCTGCCGCATCTAAGGCCGTAGGGTTGGGGTGCCCAAGGCCGACCACTACCCAAACGTCCAAGTTTAAAGGGAAGTTTCGCTTTACAAACCTTGTGCTTGGTGCCTCCAGCCTTAAACGGTTGATAGACCCATGGATACTTGCAAGAGAGGTGTAACCCTAGACCCTAAACCCTGAACCCTGAACCCTAAACCCTAAACCCTAAACCCTAAACCTGTAAATGCAGGGCGAGCGCGTCTGTCGTCCAAGCCAGGCTAGAACTCCAAAGTGTCATCCTGAAATCCTAACACCAAACTTCACGGTGATCCACGTCTGGGATGAAGGGCTCAGAGTTGAGGATGTGTGCCCTAATAAGCTCGAAATACTCCAAGCCCGAAACCTCTCAACCATACGAGCTCGGGAAAAGTCTGCATCGGAGCGTCGACAAGTCGAAAGTCTCAAGACAGTTCGTTGGGGAAAGGTCCTTTCGATGCCTAAGCCTTGAACTGAGCCTTAAAGTTCCCAGTTTTGAAGACCTGATGGGCGCTGAGGGATCTGGGCCTGTTCGTGATCCCTACCTTCGACCTGAAGTATTTCTTCCAGGCTGCGATCTGAGTTCCAGAAGCTTAAGGGTTCAGGGTTCGTGTCGTTCGAGGCCGAGCTCGAACGGCTCAGATTTCAGGGTCTTGGGGTGCCTTTTGTCCCCTTTTTTTTGGCCCTTGAAGCTGTTGTTAGGGCCCTGTCCCCTGAAGCATTTTGTCCGCCTCCTGAGCTGCAACGCAAGGACGAGTGGTTGAAGCGCAACTCGCTGGAGCGCGAGAAGGAGTCTTTAATCTTTCTTGCTTTTGTGGGCCGTCTGGGGGGGGTTTCAGGATTTATGGCTCCTGTTAATTCCAGGAAGATCTTTGACCCAACAGGACGGCTTTGCTGACAGGAGCACTCATGACCGAACCATGTTTACGTCCGAGCAGCCATATTCGGTCTGCAAGTTTCAACCTAAAACCGCAGTATTCGCTCAGCCCTCATCAAACCATGAACCCTTCTTGCCACGGAAACATGCGAGGAAGCGCAGGAGAACGCGCACTACCCCAGTTCTCCTTATATTGCAAGGTTTCTGACGACCCTCTGTCCGAAAAAAAGGAAAATCAGCACCGCCTTTCATGTCCTTTTGCGGGCCTTTTCAGTGTCCTCAAGCTTGAGACGTGCAATATGCGTTTCTCCTGGATATCGCGCAGCCGAGCCTCAGTCTTCGACCTTTGCCATCGTATTGTGCAGGGTAGTGGGACGCGCGAATCGACGCATGGGGGCAGACATAGTTTTAGGACGGCTTCAGGCGGGGGTAGGTTCTCGCCTGTTCTGCTTATGAGAGGCTTATATAAGCAGTCGCCAAGTTGGGGCCTTGAGGAGGAGGAGGATTGCGTCTGGACAGGGTTTCGAGGTCTACGAGTGTCAAAAAGCAGGCAAAACAGGCAAAACAAGCAAGACAGGCAAAACAGGCGGCAATCGGTGTTTCTGCGGCAGTTGCAGGACAGGTCATGCGAGAAGTTATGGCACTCACAGGCCAGACCCCAAACCGCCCCAAACCCGAACCCGGTGCCTCTGTGGCATTGGTAGGAGATGCTGAAGCATTTCGACGAGATGCTGCGAAGCGTCGGGCCACCCAGTGCTTTAACCAGGGATGCCTTCGGGTTGAGGGTTTAGGGTTTCGGGTTTATAACAAGCAGCTCCGATCAGCCAATCCGGGCCTGCGAAATCACGCATCTTTCACTGAAATGGACACCAGGCCTGAATGGCATGTGGCTGAGTAGCTTGTATGTGGGTGCGGTCATATTCTTTAACTTTGATGTTTTACTACAACGGTGCCCTCCCCTCCCAACATGGTCAGCAGCAAAAATGTCGAGAGTGTTATGCGGGCGGCCCCTCTCAGGTCCTCTTCTCAGAGGCCCATTTGGTATGGTGGCCTTCTTTTTGTCTGTGTTGCATTCATACTCGCGTAACGAAGTGAATTAACAGCAGCATATTCCGGTTTTTCCTTGAACATCAAGTACAGTGGGTTGAAACATTATGAAGCGAACCCGGGAACAGCATGAAGGCAACATCAGAACGAAGGTGCCATGCACCCAAACCCGGCCTTTTTCCAGGCTGACTGAGAAGCCGACGCAGAAATCATGTGAGAGTGATTCACATGCAGCTCGAGTTTGCAGAACATGGATGAATTGACAGTAAGCCGTTTCTAGGCGACGCAACGGGATGCTTTAACGTGTTCTCATGGAACTTGCAGGGTTCAAATGCCTCCATTCTCGGAAGAGAATACAGCTCAAGACAAGAAGCCCTGGACTTTACAACCTGCTTCTAGATCCTGGACAACAATATGGCTCAAGAAACATGAAACTTGCACCTGCCCTGACCCCTCCTGAGACCTACTTGTGATAGTCAAAGGATGAGACAAAGCCAAAGCCAGAGCCCTAAACCCGAAACCGACCTTGGCGGCCGAGGTCCTGAACAAGGATCCTGTGCTTGCCTGGACTGCACCTGGGCTATCCAAGAACCCTAAGCCTTTTAGGGTTCAGGGTTTAGGGTTTAGGGTTTAGGGTTCCGAAATATCCAAGAACCCGAAGCCCAGAACCTGTGCTTTGGAGTGTAGGTTTTGGGTCTGAGCAAGCATCAGAGAACGTGGCCAATGAGTGTAGGCACACCCAAAAGAACAAGCGGTGTAGTTGTATGCATGTGCATGCACATGTGCATATGCATATGTACATGTGTCTATGTTTTTGTGTAAGCACCTATCCATATTTGCATATCTCATCCATGCACTTCTTTTACTGACCATGCGTTACTTTGAAAGCCGAACCAGCAACATTTTCCTTATCTTTGTCTGGTTAGGATGAACATTTAGCAAACCTTTAGATGTGGAATGAAGGAGGGCTCAGGACGGTACGATTGTACTGCGATTGTACTGCTCGAAGAAGTGTTTTGAAGTGAAGGCTTAGGATTTAGGCTATATATAGGGTATAGGACCTTCAGAGTCAGCCTTTGGGCCGTGAGTCCCAATGAAGCATAAGGGAAGCCAGAGTCAGAGCACTGTACTTGAGAAAGCCATGGGCCCGAGGGAAGCTGCGAACACCTCCGAGGTCAACTATGCTCTGCTTCTGAACGAGACGATTGCAAAGACTCCCAAGGATGAACAAGCAAAGTGTTTCGAAGTGTTGCGTTCAGTCGGGTGCTTTATGGGACGCGACGCGTGCCACGCATCGCGATGAATGCATGCCAAGGGCTTTGTGTCGCAAGACCCAGGACTCAGGAACCCTCAAACTTCAAACCCTAAACCCTCGAAACTCCATCCCCCTAAGCTAAACCGAAGACCTTGAACCTCTTCCTCACTTAGCTTGGGGCCCCGAAACCCTAAACCCTAAACCCTAAACCCTAAACCCTAAACCCTAAACCCTAAACCCTAAACCCTAAACCCTAAGCCCTAAACCCTAAACCCTAACCCTTGAAGCAATGTGCAGGACTCCTGGAAAGAGAAGGACCCTACGGGTAGGCCTGGACAGCACTCTTGCACTTGCTGGTCAAGAAGATGGATGGAGCTTGAAGGGTTTCGGTTCAGGATAGGGACTGAGAATCCTTATGTTTTTTTTTGAGTTCTGGTACTGGTCACTGGTGAGGCGCGAGATCTATTTCGACATGATCACGAAGCTCCGCCAGGGCCACTACCGAAGGGAATGGCAGGAGGCGCTCGGGCTGTTGGCACTGAGTCTGTCAGTGAGGCACTGAAGCCTTAGCCCCACCCCTCCGGGGTTAGGGTTCGGGGCAGCCCTGATTCATGGGATCCCTCTGTCCGACATGCAAATTGGGGGTCCGACATGCCAAGGTAGGTTTTCGAGATGCAAACTTTCCTGGGATCCGACATGCCAGAGGAGGTTTTCGAGATGCAAGTGGTAAATTCTGGGTCCAACCGGCACAGGTGGGTTTTCGAGATGCGAACTCTCGATTTCGCGTAAAATTAGTAAATTAGTAAAATAGTAAAATAGTAAATAGTAAAATAGTAAAATAGTAAAATAGTAAAATAGTGAAATAGTAAAATCTGGGTCGAACCGGCACAGGTGGGTTTTCGAGATGCAAACTGCTGAGGCTGAGGCCGTGGAGCAAATCCTATTAAAAGTAAAGAGAGAAGGAGGAATTGTTTCTGGATTTCGCGCGAAATCAGTAAAGTGGTAAATTCTGGGTCCAACCGGCACAGGTGGGTTTTCGAGATGCAAACTCCCGATTTCGCGTAAAATTAGGAAATTAGAAAAATTATAAAATAGTGAAATCTGGGTCGAACCGGCACAGGTGGGTATTCGAGATGCAAACTGCTGAGGCCGTGGAGGAAATCCTATTAAAAGTAAAGAGAGAAGGAGGAGTTTTTTCTGGATTTTGCGCGCAATCAGTAAAGTGGTAAATTCTGGGTCCAACCGGCACAGGTGGGTTTTCGAGATGCAAACTCCCGATTTCGCATTAGTAAAATAGTAAAATAGTAAAATAGTAAAATAGTAAAATAGTAAAATAGTAAAATAGTAAAATCGTAGAAAAATAGTAAAATAGTAAAATCTGGGTCGGACCGGCACAGGTGGGTTTTCGAGATGCAAACTGCTGAGCCCGTGGAGGAAATCCTATTAAAAGTAAAGAGACAGGGAGGAATTTTCTCTGGATTTCGCGCGACATCAGTACAGCGGTAATTTCTGGGTCCAACCGGCACAGGTGGGTTTTCGAGATGCAAACTCCCGATTTCGCGTAAAATTAGTAAATTAGAAAAATTGTAGAATAGTAAAATCTGGGTCGAACCCGCACAGGTGGGTTTTCGAGATGCAAACTGCTGAGGCCGTGGAGGAAATCCTATTAAAAGTAAAGAGAGAAGGAGGAGTTTTTCCTGGATTTTGCGCGCAATCAGTAAAGTGGTAAATTCTGGGTCCAACCGGCACAGGTGGGTTTTCGAGATGCAAACTCCCGATTTCGCATTAGTAAAATAGTGAAATAGTAAAAATAGTAAACATAGTAAAATAGTAAAATAGTAAAATCTGGGTCGGACCGGCACAGGTGGGTTTTCGAGATGCAAACTGCTGAGGCCGTGGAGGAAATCCTATTAAAGTAAAGAGAGAAGGAGGATTTTTTTCTGGATTTTGCACGCAATCAGTAAAGTGGTCAATTCTGGGTCCAACCGGCACAGGTGGGTTTCGAGATGCAAACTCCCGATTTCTCGTAAAATTAGTAAAATTGTAAAGTAGTAAAATAGTAAAATCTGGGTCGGACCGGCACAGGTGGGTTTTCGAGATGCAAACTGCTGAGCCCGTGGAGGAAATCCTATTAAAAAAAAAGAGAGGGAGGAATTTTCTCTGGATTTCGCGCGAAATCAGGAAAGCGGTAATTTCTGGGTCCAACCGGCACAGGTGGGTTTTCGAGATGCAAACTCTCGATTTCCCGTAGAAGTATAGTAAAATAGCAAAATAGTAAAATAGTATAATAGTAAAATAGTAAAATAGTAAAATAGTAAAATAGTAAAATAGTAAAATAGTAAAATAGAAAATAGTAAAATAGAAAATAGTAAAATAGTAAAATAGTAAAATAGTAAAATAGTAAAATAGCAAAATAGTAAAATAGTATAATAGTAAAATAGTAAAATAGTAAAATAGTAAAATGGTAAAATAGTAAAATAGTAAAATAGTAAAATAGTAAAATAGCAAAAGTAAAATAGTAAAATAGTAAAATAGTAAAATAGTAAAATAGTAAAATAGTAAAATAGTAAAATAGTAAAATAGTAAAATAGTAAAATAGTAAAATAGTAAAATAGTAAAATAGTAAAATAGTAAAATAGTAAAATAGTAAAATAGTAAAATAGTAAAATAGTAAAATAGTAAAATAGTAAAATAGTAAAATAGTAAAATAGTAAAATAGTAAAATAGTAAAATAGTAAAATAGTAAAATAGTAAAATCTGGGTCGGACCGGCACAGGTGGGTTTTCGAGATGCAAACTGCTGAGCCCGTGGAGGAAATACTAGTAAAAGTAAAGAGCCAGGGAGGAATTTTCTCTGGATAATAGAATCCTGGTCCGACATGCAAGGTTGGGTTTTCGAGATGCAAACGGCTTGGTGCCATGCATCTCGGGCGCGCGCTTTGCATCTCGAAAACCCAACCTTGCATGTCGGACGCCGCAGTCCCGGACCATAAGCCCGAAAATGTCCAAGAGAGTCGAATCTGCCGAATCTGCTGAGTTCGTCCTGGTAGGACGACCAGTCCTTTATGCGCCCCTTCCTGCTGCCCCTCGACCTGGACTCGCGAATCTCGCAGACGGATGTTGCCTGGTACATGGCCTTCGCCCCTTGGGCTTAGTGTGGCTTCAGGGACATTGGGAGGGTTCCGGGGCAAAAGTGGACGATCCACCCTTTCCGGCCTTGAGGATGTCGGATTTGCTCCTTGATGAGCTTTTCTTGTGGATTCAGGGTAGCGACGGGTCGGTGCCTTATGTTGATGGTGTAGGGTTGGGGGTCCCAAGCCCTGGACCCTCCTCTTGCGAAGGCCGAAACCTATTGGGGCACCTGGCCGAAGGATTCCAAGGATGCCAAGGCGGATCCTGTTTAGGGTTTAGGGTTTAGGGTTTAGGGTCCTAAGAATTCGAAAAGCAGCTGAAAAGCCCTCAGCTTTTGACTTCTGAACCCTCCAACCCAAGATTCCGGAACGTGAATCTCCGGATTCTTGGCCCCTCACCCCTGGGCACGGGATCCCGACACCTCAACTCTGAACTCTACTGCTGTGGGCGGCTTCTGGGATCCTGGGCATGTGCCTTCAGGACTTTCAGCTTCAGGGGTTCGGGAAAGTTTGGGAGCTGTTAGGTTGGGGATGCGCGCCGGAGACTTTGAGCCGGGCTGCGTTTGAGAGTAGTGACTACGCAAAGGGGTAGCCCTGCAAAGCCAAGGCTGCAGTCTGGAGAGCCCTCTACAACTGAACCTAAACCCTAAACCCTTAACCCGAAACCCTAAACCCTAAACCCTGAACTCTGAAGATGGCGCGGTTGACCCGCATTCACCATCCACTCCGACCCCCGAGTCCTTCTTGGTTTGGTTCCGCCTGACCCTCTGGCGCTCCAGAGTAGGGTGTTTTGAGGCGCATGCCCGGTAGAGCCTTCCTTGAACATTCTCACCCCCCCCCCCGGCCCCCAGAGCGCCTTTTTTTGATTGCGAGAGTTTGTATGATGAGAATCTTTCGGCGAACCTTGCAGGTTTTGCAGTCCAGAGTTCCAAGCTGTGACCGGAAGCCTCCTTGGGCGCAGGAGCAGAAGAAGCTCAGCGCCTTCGGGGCATTCGATGGCTGGATTGCCGTCACAAAGCCCCCATCGTCGCAAAGCGGCGTGGATGCGACGAAAGATCAGGTGACTTTGCCTGAGTTCCATCTAGGGCTGAGGCTCCAAGACACAAGGCCCTAAGCTTCCAAAGCTTAGACCGTCACAAGTGTCCTGAGCCCCGAATCGGGATTCATCCGTCTCATGAATCCATGCAGAAAGAGCCGGCCACTGTTCGTTGGATGTTCGTTAGCCAGCCAATAAAGCCGCCAGAGCGGAGGAAACTCAAGAGCTCCAACGCCCCAAACATGTTTCCAAACTAAATCCCTCAAAGCTTGAGCCGTCATTGTGGCCTGCGACTTCGCTTGAGCGGTTGGGCTAGAATCCTGTGCGGGGTGTAGCGTTTAGAGCTCACGGGATCATTTCAAGGTTTTTGTGTTCAGGGCTTGACGTTTGATCCACGCGCCGAGGACGGAGGCTTCGTTTCTCTCACAGCCTAGGCCATAAGCCCCAACTTTGAGGCAGACATCCCGGGCCAATCACTTCAAGCCTCCAAGCCTCCAACCCTTCAAGCCTTCAAGGAGGTATCAAGCCCTGAGTCCTCTGTAGCCCGGCGTGCCTGGCATTGCTCGGCAGTGCCGGCAGTTCTACTCCTTGGTGTGTACAGGGCCTTAGAGTCCTAGGCCCGAGCTCAGAAGATTTTGCTTTGCCAGCTGCTGTGAGGCTACTGTTCTGCAAAAGCTTGCTGGCGAGTCCTCAGGGACGCCTTCGCAGACTGCCTTCCCGGAGTGCTTGCAGGAGACCAGCCCCGGGCACATGGCTTTGGGTTGCTTTTTTTAGGGCGATCAGTCTGCGGGTGGGTCGGGGCCATCGCCCTCAAGCTTGTTGTAGCTGACGAAGCAATTGCAACCCAAACGACCCTTAAAGGCAAGCCTGACAGCTTTAGAAAGTGGTCGCCTCGGTCCCCCCCTCCCCCTCCTAACTGTTTGCAGGCTTCGCTGAGGACAGAGTTTCCAGGGCATCGCGGGGTTGCAAAGCTTAGGCCTTCAAGCTAAGTTGCACTCCCCCGCCCCAGGCGAGTCCCAGTAGACAAGATGGCTGAATGGAATGATGCTGAATGCCACCGTTGTTGAGAGCAGAACACAACCCCTAAACCCTAAACCCTAAACCCTAAACCCTAAACCCTAAACCCTAAACCCTAAACCCTAAACGCTAAACCCTAAACCCTAGACTCTGCCCGAAACGCCTGCCCTGTCAGGATCCCAGCGGTGGAGGTGCCCTTGCTGATCGAGTCCGCCCAAGACCGTCCCAAGCGTCACGAGCCCTCGTGAACCTTAAACCGCAAAAACCGCCCAACTGATGCCAGTCATTCCAACCCTAAACTCCAAACCCTAAACTCCTAAACCCTAAACCCTAAACCCTAAACCCTAAATCCCAAGGACTGGAGTTTTGCAAGCCGTAGCTTATTCAGTCTTGATAAGGTTTCAGGAGTCTTAAGGTTTAGGAGTTGACGGGGGATGCCCTGAAGGGGCTTCATGTGAAGGGGCAGTCGGGGCTGCAGCATGGAGTTTCCCACACCAGGACCTTGCAACGGGCTTGAGCAGGATGTCCTGTGCAGCCATCAGAACCAGATAGCACCCCATGGAATCCCCATATCTGTTGTCCCGCCTTCATCGCACGTGCATCGATCCGCACTGCCTCTCGTTAAGTACGTGTAGGGCCCGAAGCACGACCGAAGAAGCCTCAGTTCTGGAGGCTGCTTCTACAAGAGCAAGAAGGTCAAGATTCTGCAGTATGGCTTTGCTGCCCTACAACAGCTGAAGATCTCGTCGAAGGGCTACCTGAAGATGGAGGCGTGTCTGTGTGCCCTTGTAGATGCAAAAGGCCCTAAGGCGCCGTAGAACCCTGACGGCCGAATCCTTCAGATGCCCCAACCAAAGAACACACGCGGTCACTCGAAAAGCCCTCGACTCCCCAAAAGCCCTAAACTCGAACTGCCATGGTGTGGGAAGGCCCCAAACTCCCCAAACAACCCTCGTCGAGCAGGTGGATTCCAACTTTCAGCAGACCGCCCTTGCAGACGCCCCTGGGCCGCAGAGTTCCTTTCGTTTTCCTTGGACAATTTGGGGGGTCAAGGGCTATGGGTTCGGGGTTCATCGGATCCTAGTTGCCTAAATGCACCGAAGCCGCATGTCCCTCACAGCCCTGAGAATGTTTGAGGTATGGAAGTACACAAATCTCAAGCCTGCCCAAAAGCCACCTGGCTGCAAGCGTACGGCAGTTCTCTCTGGTTCAGGGGGCTCTTTGTAAAGGTCGCATCGTTGATCTGCTGATTGTTGTGCCAGTGCGAGAGTTTGTTTTTACATGGCATAACCCTCCCCCCCCATTCAACGCCATCGCCTGAAGCCCTAAAGCAATTGAGGAAGGTTGAGTGCGACGTGGTGGGTGCAGTGGTTGATGAGTGGGTCGACGACTGGGATCGTTGCGCTGCAGAGAGAGGTCTTCCTTCGAATCCCTTTTCCCAGCTCTACGGCTGGCAATACCGGGCTTTGGGGGCTTGGGATGTCGGGCGTTTCAAGGCTGGGGCTTTTTGGGCCTATGACTGTTTACGGGTTTTAGTGTTTTAGGGCTAGGTTGGGCGCTTTGGGGGTACAGGGTTTAGCATGTAGAGTTACAGGGGTTGGCAGGTCTCTGGCATCACTGTTTTGGGTGTGACGCAAAGTCAGACGCCACACAGAGTCTCTTTCCGACTCGCAGCAGGAGAGTTTCTGCGTGTTCAGTTTGGTGTTTCTCCGATCTAGGAGTTGCTGTTATAACAGCTTTCCGTCCTCCTCAGGAACATCGGCGGGGTTTGCGACGATATCGCTCACGACAAGCGTCGTCACATGGAGTGGTTCGGCCTCAACGCTCAGTACGATGCCTTCGGGACCTTCGTGGGTTTCTTGAAGATTGGTCGAAGGTCTCTGGCCTTGTCGGGCTTGAGGCAGTGACCAGGGCAGCCATCCTTCATGTCAGGATTACTTGAATGTGGTGAGAGCTGCTGGTCTAGGGGATAGGATCGGAAAAGTGGCAGACTGTGGCTTTTTTTTTCCCGTCCACCACACGGCATAACCAGAGCCGTTAGCGAATGCCGAAAAATGGCTGAGGTGGCGGTGTGCCCGTGCCTCTACTGCTGTACGATTCCCGACCACGCTGGCATGAACATGCAAAATGCACTGAATCTCGAAGCCTGAACATGTTCGGCCGATTTCGGCCACGATTTCGGCCACGAGTCAGTGTCGGCAGGTGCTGCAAGGGGCAGCACCCCTGCAGCCCACAATCCCGAGGTGCTCCCCAAGCAAAGGTGGTCCAAAACCCCGACCACAATGCGCTGCAGCCCCGAAGTTCTCTAAGCAAACCGTGAGCTGCAGAATGCTCCCGGAGGGGCGAACCTTGGCCTAAGTGAACGCAGAGGATGCCTGAGACTCCGGGGTGCAAGAAAGATCAGCAAAAGCGTCAAAAACTTGGGAGATGTTGCAGCAATTCCCTGTTGCGCGACCTAGGCCCACAACTGGAGTTTTGATGGTGGCTCACATGACCTTCACTCTTTCCCATCTCTCCCTTCCTAGCCCCTAAATCCGAAACCCTAAACCCTAAACCTTAAACCCTAAACCCTAAACCCTAAACCCTAAACCCCAAACCCTAAACCCTAAACCCTAAACCCTGCAGGACGCATTGCATCGATGCGCGGTTTCTGGCGTTTGGAGGCCCGGCCCCAAGGATGGGCCAAGGCAGGCGTTCTCGAATGTAGGTTCAGGGAAATCTTTGAGGTTTAGGGTTTTTTAGGGTTTAGGGTTTAGGGTTTAGGGTTTAGAGTTTAGGGTTTAGGGTTTAGGGTTGGTGACTGAAAATGGATGTGCAAGCTGAGGTGTTTGAGGCTGAGGCTTGGGAGGCTTGAGGGCACCGCAAACCCTAGCAGCCCGAGCAAAGGGGCCAGTCAGACTTCACGCCCGCGAAACCGTCCTTCCACTCACTTCTGCGATTCAGGTGCTGACCGAACCGTCTTTCGATTTGAGGTGCCTGCACATGTGTTTAGGAGGTTTGAGGGCTTGAGAGCTTAAGGATTTAGGGGTTCACGGCCGTATCAAGGCATAACCAAGGTTGCAAGTCGCTCTAAACTCTGGGGCGCTGCTCCCAAAGATCAAAGTCCTGTTCCTCCAGCTTCGCGCACTGGGGAGCCGTCCCTACTAGCACCCAAAGCCTGAAGCCGCCTAAGTCACCGAAGTCACCCAATTCCGGAAGGGGGGGGGTTGGGGGGGCGCCGGCTCGCAGCAGGAGGCCCCAAACGTGGATCACAGCAAGGAGCTGGCGGAGCTGCTGAAGGACGTTTGGCCTTTGGCCCAAGAGACCCAGCAAGCTCGAGGGCGTGATGGGTGTGTGTTTCTTAGGGAGTTGGAGCTTGGGGTTGCATGTTAGAGGAACCCGACATGGTGTTGGGGATGAAGGGCTCTAGGCCAGGGTCAGAAGGTTCGCGCGTCGGAGGGCTGAGCGGTCGGAGTTATGATGCGGCTGATGGGACTCATGTTGGGGCGAGCTTAAAGTGGCCGGGCCGTAACCTCATGCAACCTTGCTGCAGCGGCACCACGAACACCCTGAATTCCAAGCTCCGGATGCTTCGTAAACCCTACAGTCATGAGTCCCTGAACCTTGAACCCAAAGCTGTCGGCCAACCCTAAACCCTAAACCCTAAACCCTAAACCCTAAACCCTAAACCCTAAACCTTAAACCCTACACCCTACACCCTATACCCTAAACCCTCAAGCTTGAGCCGTAAACCGCTGCAGGATCCGGAGTTTATTGGCTTCTGCCACCGGCTCCTACCGGGCTGGGTTCAGGCGCCTCCGTTGCGGGAAGCGCGCAAAACCCGGGATGGGCAAAACCCCCCCAAAAAAGACCCTAGGGTTTAGGGTTTAGGGTTTAGGGTTTAGGGTTAGGGTTTAGGGTTTAGGGTTTAGGGCCCGAAGTCCTCACATCCTCAATCCCCCAAAGAGACCCCACAGGTGATCCTCTGGATCTTCGGCTGTTGCCTGCTGGTGGCCATCTGGCACGGTGCTCAGAAGTGCCCTAAACCCTAAACCCTAAACCCTAAACCCTAAACCCTAAACCCTAAACCCTAAACCCTTTTAAGACTGTGGGATTAAGAGGGTTTTTCGAGGCTTATCGGGAGGAGGGTGTTGAGGGGTGTTGGAGCCCAGGCTTGGTTGCAGGTTGGCTCAGTCGCCAGCCCAAAGTCCGGGATATTTTGGCGTTTTGGGGCGGATGAGCAAGCAGCTGACATGCCTGCTACGACTCCCAAACTCTGGCATCCTGTTCTTTTTGGGTGAGCTGTCGAGCAGGTGAAGGGAACCTTCTTGAAAAGCCGGCACCATATGGGCAACTGCTGCAACAACCGGAGCGTCAAACTACCTCAACTCGCACGCTCGGCCAAAGCACCATTCGAGCCCTACGCAGCCTCAAAGCCCTTAAAGCCTCAATGCCGAATCCTCATCCCGCCGCACGACATCCAAAGTGATCGCGAACACGAAAAGCAACGAAATGTGCAATGGCAGCCTAGTGTATGCAAATGTGCCGAAGCAGAAGCTTTCTTCGGAAAGGCTAGGGTGCGTTGAACGACACATTCTGGGTGCTTCATTCGATTAGGTTGCTTGGGACATAGTCACCACCACAAGTTCCCCTGCCGACTTTTTTTCCGACGGAAGTGCCGACACTAAAGCCAACAGAGGGTGCAGCTGTACCATATTGTACCATGGATATTGAAGGAAACATCGCCTCCTACGTGCGCAACTTGATAAAGGTTTCCTCATGGTTCGAGAGAATCAGACTGCATTCGTCGAGCCGGGCCAGGAGGTGTTGTATTTCATGAGCTCTATCGAGGTCTCCAGGAGAAGAAGCGATTGCAGTCATTGTTTGAGCCGACATCCGCCGACCAGGTACTCGATCTCGGAGCCCGCATGGTGACAGCGGCATCGTGGCACTGTTCAAACCAAGTGTCTCAAATAGCGAGACGGCAAAGAGAATGGGCTATGCAGGCACTTGAGTCAAGCGGACAACGCGAACCTGCATTGCGATGCGATGCCTCCCGATGCTCTCTTGACATCTGGCTCCGTCAAACACAGTTGCAGGCTGTGACGCAGCGCGTGGCGAAGGCTTTTGCTGAAGCCAACGTCGACACTGACCACTATTTCGAGTTGCGTTGATGGCAGAATGATAACGTGCGCGGCATCGGCTAAGTTCACGTGAGGTGGCCGGGCAGTGGTTGCCTGGTTTTGCCTCCTGGGAGTCGGCTTTCCAGGCGATGCAGCAAAGGTTGGGGCAAGCCTCACGTTCGAGTGGCTTTGCCCACATCCGTTTCCCAGGCCATCTTCCACACGTCTGGACAATTCACGTAGCGTCTTCGATTTTTTTTGTTGTGTTGCTCAACGCACGCGCCTTAAATCCGAGCCCAGACCAAAAAACCCAACCACTAGAAATTTGGAGGCATAAACCCCCAGCCCTGACCCCGTCCTGCACTTCTGACGAGGCTCTACCGCACCTGGAAGATATGCTTTGCCCGCAGCGATACCCCTGGTACCACACAGGACTGGGCTGTAGGAGTTCCGCACCATGGAATTGTAGGGTTAAGGGGGTTTGGGGGCTTAAGGTGTAGGGCTTCCGGGTTTTTAGGGTTTGCAGTTTAGGGTTTTCGGGTTCTAGTGTCCAGGGTTTTGGGGCTTGGGTTTGATGGCTTTGGGGTTGAGTGTCGAGGGTTTCTTGTCCGCAGGGTTGAGGTTCGGGGTTTCCGCCGGGCTCGGCGTTCTTGACTCTGGTAGCAGGAAAGGGAGACTTCAGAACCTTCCAAAAGGCTTCGGCTTCTGAGTCGCGTTACGTTGGGGGCCTTGTTGCTTCAGCCCTCCAAACTCTAGACTCTAAGCTCTTAACTCTACTAAATTCTACGCGATTCAATAGCTTCAAACCCTAAAGTGGGGCTTGTGCATTGAATGATCATGTTAAGTCTTAGCGTTTAGAGTTCGAGGGCCTTGTTCTTCAACAAACAAGAAAACCTTGCAGCGTTTTGTGGAGCTTTGCTACCTTGTTCACACTGCATGCAGTGGAGGCCCTCGAGCCTCAAACCAACCCTTGCCCCGACGAATTGTCCGCAGGGGCAAGTGGAGCTGGAGAGCATGGTGCCAGCCCTGTTCTTCTTGGGTTTGGGCTTTCGGGTTTGAGGTGCAGCTTCGAGATTTTTCAGTGTCTTCAGAACTCTGTTTTGCTTGGCTTGGCGGAGCCGAACACTTTTGCATCAACTCTACACTCCCAGCCTTTCAAGCAGCTTGAGCTTGAGCTTTGAGCTTGTCCTTGAGTGAGTTGACATTGCAACCTCTGGCAGAAGCTCCAAACAATTCAGCTCAGGGATGCGAAGAATGATTCCCAATCCCATCCACACCTCCAAGCCCCCCCCCCTCTAAACCCAACAATAAAACCCTCAAACCCCCCAAACCCCCAAATCCCCAACCTCCCTCAACTCTGGACCCTCTGAAGCCGCCAAACCTAGAACAAAGAGAGTCCTAAACCCCTAAACCCTAAACCCTAAACCCTAAACCCTAAACCCTAAACCCTAAATCCCAAACCCTAAACCCTAAACCCTAAACCCTAAACCCTAAACCCTAAACCCTAAACCCTAAACCCCAAACCCCGCAAGGATGGAGCCCAGGGCCCCGCCTCAACGTCTCATGAGAGCGGGCTCGGCATGTCCTTTTTGCCTTGTGCGCTTGCTTTCCTTTGGGGGGTTTAGGGTTTAGGGTTTAGGGTTTAGGGTTTAGGGTTCTAGGATGTTCTATAGGGTTGCCGCGGGTGTGCTTTTGCGGCTTAGCCTATGGGTGAATCCTAAGCGGCCCAAAGGCCCTCCCCCGTCACTCGCAATCCGAAAAGCTTCAAAATCTGCTGGAAGTAGACGGCATCTCCTCTGGATAAC